TCATCCTTGATAGAACTCGTACAACATCTTACGTCCCTCTGTCAGTACGAAATGTCTGCATCTCCCATGCGTTCAAATTTCCACATCAGTGACGTACTTTCTCTCTTCGAATACCAGCGATTTATCACCTCCCTTGCTGGTGAGAGATAAAGTTTCACGCTTGGAAATAAAACAAGTAAAATTACTGTTTTACATCTTCTTTCTCAGAGCCGAGGGAGAATGGAATTTAAGGCAGGAGAACGAAATGCGAAAACATGAATTCCAGGTGTGAGTGATAACATTTTAGTCCCAGACCATTTTTCAACATTAATCCCAATTTCGAAAGAACACGTATATACGACCAACAACACGATTAACACTTTAAAACCCAGTAGTAACTATACATATCACATGCTTTACGTATATGAATTAAATTTCAAATTTGGAGTTGTAAACTGTTATGCTACTTTCATTTTAATTAGTATCGGTCCTGCATAAAACATAATTTACATTAGGTTCGAACTGATTTGTCAATTTAAATTAAATTACTCACGTATAAAAAAATTGGAAATTGTTTAAAATAAATTGAAGATCTATGACGCTGCTATAAAATGTTTTCGATGTAAAGTGTTTTTAACAAAATACATAATAATTTGTCTCAATATTACATCCTATTAGTGGTGTTTAGTGACTTTATCATTAATTTATAACATCGAAATAAATTCAGAAAAGTATACCTAAGTGGTTAAATGGACAATGAGTAAATCCAAGTGTAAAGTAAAACAGCATCACTATAAACACTAACTGAATTTAAACGATCTTAACACTGAATAAACATTTACTTATTAGAAAGCGCAATGAATTTGATACAAACGTATTAATTATTAAAAAATAGAGTGAGTAAGTCGTTCACGGGAGTCGATCAATGTACCTGGTCCTTACGAACAAAACACATTCGGGAAATGAAGTAAATAATCTTGTCGGTGTAAGTAGGTCTCATATATAGTTACAATTAATAGTTGTAGTCAGGTATCATTTGCCCAGAAGCGAACAAGACACACAGACCTATCATCGAGGCATAGCGATCAGTTTAATTTTCAGCCAATGGCATTCAAATTTGATTTATATCCCTTATTTACCATTAATTGCAAAGAATTTGGGCTTTTGAATTAATAAATAGTGTAATATAACTTTAACTAAGCAATTAACCAAGACATTTAATTTAAAACGTTTCGTCCTCTTTGGACACTGATCAATCAACAACCTAAACTTTAATTAAAATATTTGGAATTCTTGAAAGCTATTCGACAGAATCCAGCCGTCTGTCAGTGACTCGATTCACTAAGCAAAAGATAGATATTTACCAAACACAGAATGTCGTCCACTCACAAAACCATACTAATAGGATTTTTATTGCGGATTTTATTTTCAGATAATGTGGCTTCATCAGTGAAATATTAAAAATTCTACATAACACAAAACTACACAAATGTAAAATAGTTTGCATACACAGAGCGAGAAATGGTCATTTGAATTACAGATTACGAACTGAAAAATACTCTCAGCAATTTATTTGAGATTAAAGCCATTAACTAATGGAACGGCATATAAAATTCCTAGCAAACTCTGTATCTATCAAAAATTTTATCTGCCAGTGAAGTTACAAAATGGCAGAAATTTTATAAAGCTACCAATAGTACATTGTGGAGTGCATACCATATTTAGTGTTTAG